ATTTGGAAGGGAATTTTGAAGGGTGCTTATTCAAATGCTAAGAAGGTAACAACATGAAACACAAAGTAAAGAAGCTGTACGTTATCTGGGAGTTGAACGCTCAGTTTTCTTAGGTTACTTGTCCTAGACGAAATATAAGCACAGCAAAAGGAGAATTTGTTTGCTGACAATAATAATCATTTGATTTAGCCGGGAGTGGCCAGGGAAAAGATCAGAGGTGAAATAAAGGGACTGCTTATAAAAAGTTTACCTTTGGTTCGCTTCTCCACCTTGCTCTCGATGATTTCTTGAACATTATTAGATGTTGTCTAGAGAAAACAATGTAAATAAATACTAAATATTAAATACAAAATAAGAAATGCTGGAGAGGCGAGGTAAGATCACATCCCTTATTCCACCACAACAGACTTAAAAGAATAGCATGGAAATAGCTGAAGGTTAGCGAAAACCCAGGGGGAAAAAAATAGAGTTTTAAACCTAGACGCACCTGTGCAGACATGTTGATGACCAACAGACTGTACATCTTTGAGTCCAGTCTCTGCAGTACCTTCTGGGCCAAGGAGGTCTTTCCAGTACCCACAGGACCTGTGAGAAGGACAGGTCGCTTAGCCTGAAGAAGATTGTACACCAAGAAGTCGTACCGTACGGTGTCAACAGTTGGGACCATGATCTTGTAAAATGGCATGCTATAAGGAAGACAATTTTGAAAATAAATTAAAAACAACGTTAGCACAGCAGAGGTGATATTTATCGAAGGCAAAAGCATAACTTATGGCTGAGATACCACAAGGGAACGCTCTCACAGACAGCTGGTTGGCTTTCAAACGTGAAAGCAATCTAGAGTTTGAGGAATGAACGCTGGCAATGGCCCATTCCGTCCGTGAGACGCGCCTGTAGGGAATCTTGGTAGTTGTATTCTTTAAAACAAATATCCAATCGCAGATGATAAATACAACTACCATGATTCCCTGCAGGCGTATCCCGTTGAGGTAATTGGCCATTTCTCACTTACTTGGGTGTGTATCGCCAACCACTCCTGAGTTTGTCTTCCCACAATGCCCAAGCCTTCTGTTTGGCATCCACGTGATATTCATACACAGTATCCTGTAAAGAAACAAAGTAAGCATCAGTTATCAGTTATCTGTAATAAGCGTTCCAGGTAAGAGACAGGTCTCGGGTCAATAACTAGATAGTGATGGCTGCTTGACCGAGCAAATGAAATGGGAATTTTAGGTTATTATAAGTAACTTCATCTTCCTCTAGCCGGCAGACGGCTCCAAAGTTTCGGCCCAAGGTTTCGAATGGAATGCTTCCAGTAGGTCGTAATAGAAAGACAGGGTGTGGGAAAGTCTGATCGTCTAAGGTCACGACGTATCCTGGAGACTGAGGTGTAAAAAATTCGCAGACGAATGTAGGTCGTTTGGCCCCTAGCTTGTTAGCCCTTGACCAGAAGTCGAGGGAATACAGCTGTATTCGACGAACATTTGAACAAATTTAACTTTAAAATAGAGCACGAAAAATTTTTGACATTTTTGGATTATTACCTTTGCAGGGAATTGTCCTTCGATTTCGCGAAGGAAATTGTCCATTTTCTTCCTGCTGTCTTCATCCACTGACGCACAAATGGACCAGATTAACGAAAACAAGAACCACAACTCGATCATGCGAGGGTAACTGTCTTCGTGTGGGTGCACCTGTTGCGTTTAGAAACGGTAAAAAAAAAACGATTAGTTACTTGACAATGGTCAAAATGATAGCAAGTCCAAAACGACTGTCTGATTCACAAACAAACCGAACTTATCCTGTGGAAATACGTCAGATTGGTTCATGAAACTCAACTGGAAACTTCTGTTCCATATGACATATCAAACACGAGAGATAGGCTTGCATCACATTTCCAAACACAGAGGAGAAAGAGTGCTAAGTTTCTTTCTTTACAAACCTCGGCTAGAGTTCGATTGACATTAAATAATTCCCCTAATGCAAGCATTACTAAAGAATCTCTTCGCTGGCGACAAGTGAATTCAAAGATTGTCACTAACTCCATTTTCCTCCGTTGCTAGGGCGTCAAACAACACACACAAGGACACCACAGAGTTCAGCTCTGATGTTGGAATAAGCTCTTTGCAGTGGTGACTTCGGAAATCCAAAACCTTGGGAACAAACTTCTCAAACAATCTCTGAAGGTGTTCCACGGATTGCTGTAAACAGTTATTTAACCACATACTATTAATACTGGCACTTTTAAGGCTTTCATAAGAGCACTTAATCATTAAGAACCTTCTCAGAACTTATCAAACTCATTAATGATTCATCAAGTTAAAACAAAGAAAATCACAACAGTGAAGGAGGTTTGGATACCCGGTCTTGATTAGCATAGATTTTGAAGATTTTACTTCTCCGTTTACTCCTTAGTTTTTGTTTCGATTGAGACGATATATCAAACACTCAAGACAGTGTTTCATCGGCTATCCAAACACCTCGAATTTCGTCAAAAATA